AAATGGAAACCACGCAATTCGAAATGAATCAATTCCAGTAACTGACAAGTCAAGTAAATCAGCAGTTTATGCTTTTAGGTATTTTTAAACGGCTTGAGATATTTGTGGCCAAAAAATGCCAATGAAAACTACGTTACTTTTTTCCAATATGAAAGTGGAATTTAAATATATGATTTCATACGGTACTGATGAATTGAAAAAATTGATATCTTTTATGAAGCCTCCCGCTTTACATCTGAACATTGCAGTCGACATTCAGTCTCGTTCTAGTTCCAAGTGCATGCATGCTCCCTCACTGACCGCACTGTTCCCCAATGAGTTTCCCTGAACTGTTAGAAAAAAAAACTCCACAAAAGCATTTCGAAATGCAGCGGCGGGACATAGTTGTCAATTCTATAATGGACAGACAGCTACCAGAACGCTAAAATTTCATTTCCAAACTACTCCCAGACGCCCGTCACGCATTAAATCACGGATCCTTAAAATCTGTATCCTTATCATCAGCCACAGCGTTATCCCAAAACTAAGGCACAACTGACGATTCAAACTAGATCGCACATTCGTGATTTCACGGTGAAATCGTTAGAGAGAACGTATGCGGGATATGCCGCGTAATGGAATACATGTGATATTTCTGACACCCTGGGTGTACTTAGTACATTGACTTCGTTTCCACATCCCAAACGTCCATTGTTTGCTGTGCAATTTATGTATGCCACTCTGGTAAAAAATGTGTACCATAGTGTCTGTAGATATCCGTTCGTTCGACTGTAATAGCTGCATATTGAAATTGATCGATACACCGTAATCGGCAGCGCCGTTGTTGACTATAACTTAGACAACTGATAAAGCTCATCGCGTAAATCACGAAACATCAGTGTATCGCTCTAACATGCAAAATATTTTGGTTATTTTTACCTGAAAGCTGAAAACAACACCTCGAGTTTGCACGAAAAAAACATGAATTAGAGGCCTCTTTGATTAGAGTGTGGAATAATATCGACATGTGATTTGAAATCTTACATCATGTAATACAATGGTTTCAGTGGGTTAAGTGCGATATTTTTGTCGTAAGGAAAATCTAGTTTTTCCTCATATACTTTCGCTAAAATGGAAGATAATATGATGAAATTTCGTATTGTGATTTTTATGTCGTTGTTACCTAGATTCTCAAAAATAGTGATAATCGAGACTGTCACGGCGGAGATAATCCATCAACCCGGATGGAAGGGCAATAATTTTGTCGCGGACTGCACACGGAGAAATCAATATTGCGCAAACGCATCAGTGTACAAAGATCGTTTGCTTTGCGGTGGTTCAGTCATGGAACAGATAGCTAAGTTTGGGGGACGATTGTTCCTCTTCAATGTGAATAGAGTAATGCCCGAACAGATGCGCTTTTGGAAGCACATTTTCGCGGAATCCTACTTCGATGCCCCCAAATATCATCCAAGCTAGTCGACTTTTATACGGAACACATTTCAATTATTTACATTCATATTTTCACACACGCCTCAGTTCAGACTGTGTGCCAAACAAATCCCGGAAAAATAATCCTTATAAAAAAGAATATAAATCCTTGATTTCCTCCAGAGTACGATACTTTTAGGTTGCCCGGACCAAAGCAGATGAATTTTCTCGGGGAATTTCCAACCAGAGCCTTAGGTTAACTAAAGATTAACCCGCAAGGCAGTGGGCGGTGCGTGAAAGATTATTACATCTGAAGCAGAACCCCGAGGATATCTGAAATATTGATGTGACAACCGATGACGTTGTAATCCACATCGATATCACCGGCACAGTGATCTGCAGGATTCGATATTTTACTAATAATTCTCACACCCCATCTTATTTGACAGATTCCTTTCATATTTTCATTACCACTAATGCAGGCACACAACTACGAGAAAAATCATGGTAGATATCACAAAAAGACTTCAAACATCGATGAGCAGTACCTGAAGTTCTTGATGTTCCAGACGAAGGTCTTCCACCGTCGGTGTTGTTCGAGACTGATCAGGGAGCTGGAAGAAAGATATACAATGTTGAGCAGCTTTCAAAGTTCAGCTCAAGCGAAAGGTTACTCACGATTTGGGACAACGAACCTTTAAAAAGAAAGGAATCTGACACAAGATGTCTGTTGCAGCGATTTCATACATTACGTGTGACGAATAATTAAGTTTACTAGACGGTCACGTTTCACAACATCTTACATCTAGGAGTCGAATAGTAATCTGTTTGACTAACACCCTTCGATTCACTGATATTGCCGGGGATTGGGAAAGGATGTGTTCAGAGGAGGCATCAACATTAACGTCCCATTTCACGGGCAACCAAATCCTTGCAGTATTTCTATTTGTGTATTTGCTTCCCTAGTTTTCACTTCAGATTCAGTCAACTGAATGAATAAAGCGAATGGCGGCAGCAATCCACGAACAGTTGTCAAAGGTGGAATTAGTACAGAGCGAGGTTTATTCGTGGTTTCACCAGCGCAGACAACCTGTCTACCGACGCAGCTGGGGGAAGAGATAATGCGTTATGAGTTATATAGCTGAATCTCGTAAAGCGACACTCGATCATTATACCTAGGATATTACCACCAAACTAGCCCAAACAGCTGCAAGACAATTCGTCCCACCAATCACTTGCAGCTAACCAAATTAGGTAAAAGTAGTCTGGTTTCCTAACATCATTGATACGCATTTACTAAGCCTTAAAATCGCAAATCCGTATTGAGCTAGTATCAGTAGTCGGGAAGAAGTAGATAAGTATAGAGGACTGGTTGGTCAATTAATGAAGTCCACTGACGGTGAGCTTCAGTTTCAGTTTTCAGTTTGAACAACCATTAACCATGCACTTTCGTGCGCCGGTTTTGGTTGCTGCCTTTTGGCTGCCCATTGGGATGAAGAATAGGAGAAGAAAGGAAAGTTGAAAGTGGAGTCGAACAGAAAATGGAGAAGTCCAGTGGACTAAGGTTGCAAAGAAATTGAGGAGATGCACGAATGCCACTGTTTACGACACCCAGCCATATCGCTCAGTGTCTCTAACCATCGGTTACGATCATCCCGAGGTCCCCAGCCAGGGAGCCTAACAGGACCTATGTGACCCAGTTTCCTGGTTGGGGTTTTCATACCCTCGTGCCAGATC